TACCAGTCCTCCATCACCTTAATCGAAATTGGGTGAATATATCTCATATTAAATGATGAAGGTCATACTTTATGTCTTTTTGAACGGATCCCTCAACGTTAACCCGAGCTGCCCTGGAGGAGATTGTTTATCTCTGATTTGGTTACGTCTTCCTGACATTCACACCTCCGGTCTTAGCTGTAGGGACAACTGGGCCTCGTCGGCCAAACTGTACATGAGTGTTAGTTCAATGCAGTGTGTACTCAAGGACTATGGAAGCTGCTGAGATTGACAACTGTAGGTAATCGTTATGAGTAGATTTCGATACTGTCGATGTCACTTTTCATTCTTCCGCTCCACTACACGGCCAGATTTGTCTGTGTGTCACACAACAAATGCGTCATACATGGCAAGCTAAGCCCCACCCAAGCCACAGTGTATAGTGTCAGTGTCGACGGAGCAAAATGTGTTTAAGGGTATGAAAGATCGGTAGTTGAGTTTTGCTCACAATCACACCAGTAAACCTTCATATCTCATCCAAGTTGACATAGCCTTTCCTCCAAAAGGCACTGGACTGGACTGTCATTTTCACCTCAACTCAACTGTCCTCATTATTGCCTTCAACAGGACTCGAACCGAAGTTGTATTAGTTCAGCGTATGCGATACGTTAACCACAACGCCAGACTTCAACGAGCGTCTTAGAGTCACAGGGCAGATGTGAATTTCAAGGAAGGCCAGGTCTTTTCCCACATCACATTCTGTTGTGGGAGTGTCGATAAAGCAAAGATGTATCCTATTATCAGTCTTGACAATCTTCTTTTACCAGTCCTTCATCAAACTTAAACGAAATTGTGTGAATACATCTCATATTATTCATTTACTGGTAGTCACGAAAACAATACTTAGTTCGAACAACTTTCCCACAATGGTATGAATAGAAATGACGTTTCCATTAAATTTCACATAACCTTGCTTTCTTAAAAGGTATTCATCACCTTAAAGGACTCCAGTTGGGATGAGAACGACATTTGGGAAAGCAAGGCTATGTGAAATTGAATGAAACGTCAGCTCTACTCATCTGATTGTGTGAAAATTCTTCTTCCACCAGTCCTTCATCACCTCAAACGAAATTGTGTAAATACGTCTCCTATTCCCTCGGTTTACTCTGAGTAATACTCAACCCGCTTAGTGGCACTACTGAAATATCCTTAAACGATAGTGTCTCATCGTTAAATTAACAATCCGACATGACTGTCAATCCACCCGCAGTGGGGATGGAACAGTGGACATGTGGCTACTGGGGGTGTCAAGACAGGCAATCCAAGCCCAATTAAGCTAATCACACAAACACACATACATACACACACATGCATGCATACAAGCAATTAACAAACAAACAAACAAACAAACAAACAAACAAACAAACAAACAAACAAACAAACAAACAAACAAACAAA